GGGCCCCTTCGTCTCCCTACTTCTTCAGTCACCTATCCAATGTTCTGCTGCCCGCGTCTTTGTAAGTAAATGTATACGGTTTGTTCCATTTATATCCCGCCAAATGTCCCACTTTCTCTTCCTGATCTTAAGCACCTACTGGACTCTTTGCCAGAGCCTGTGCCCCTGTTGGGTGATGTCAACTGTCGACATACCCTCTGGGGTAGTGTTCTGACAAACACTCGATGCCACCTTCTCAAACCGTTTGTCCTCTCTTCTTCTCTGTCTCTTCTGAATTCTGGTGAACCTACTCATGTGGACTCTCCAACTCACACCCTTTCCTGTCTTGATCTTTCTCTCTGCTCGTCGTCTATTTACTTAGATTTCATGTGGTGGGTACTTGATGACCTCCATAACAGGGACCATTTTCCCATCCTTGTCACTTTTTTATCTTTTCACCCTCCCCTCCACTCTCTTTTCCAAGCTGGCAGTTTGCCAAGGCTGAATGGAGCCTAGTCATCCTCCGTGCTACTATCTCCGACCTCTCCACTCTGCCTCTCCTTCACGCCCTCCTCCTTTTTCATAACACTGTCTTCGTTGCTGCCCTCTGATCTATTCCTTGCTGTACCTCCCGGGGCACGCGGAAGTGCGTTCCCTGGTGGAATGCGGACTGTGCTCGGGCTGTCCACTGTAAGCGTGCAGCCTGGAAGAAATACCGACGCCGGTATTTCGCAGTGCCCTCGTGGCTCTGGAGTCCTTTAATCCAGTTTATCTGGTGGCAGTCGAGATTCCACATCGGCTTTTTCTTATTTCCATTAGATTTAAGACAAGAGAGTTTGTGGGGTTCCCAACTATATTGCTGTCTCTTTAAATGAGCATGCCGACCCTGTTGCTAAGGAAGCTATCTGCCCTTGTCCCCTCTCCCATAACGGTATTCCTTATTTCGATTTTTACCCAGTAATTCCTTCCTTCATCCCTGTCCGTTGGCAAGGTTGTTGGTCTTCTGTTACTGGTAACAAACTGTGTACTCTTAAGAGTAATGTGTCCCTGTGGCCTTCCACCTACCACAATCACTGGCGGTGGGAAACGGTTCTGGCAAGGATGCATATTGGCCAAACATGTTTAACTCATGGACACTTAATGGAGCGCTGCTCTGCTCTTTATTGTCCAAACTGCATTGTTCCTCTTACAGTCGTGCATATCCTTGTTGAATGTCCGGACTTCCAGGACGAACGTGTGTCTTGCTTTCCGACCATCCCTCGTGGTCAGTTGTCCTTCGATGTAATTCTCGGTGAATCGGATACTTTTGATATCGTTTGCCTTATGTGTTTTTGTTCTCATATTGGCATCCTTGGTGATATGTAGCGCCCTCTGATTATTCCGCACATTTGATAGTGCTACATAGCCTTCCTGGCTTGGTGCCTTCTTTTGATATTTACTTACTTACTTCACCTGTTAAACAAAACATTCCTAAGTGGAGAGTTGCCAGCGCAATGGAAACACGCAAAAAAATTTCCCATACCGATGCCCAATGACCCTGGCAATTACAGACCTATCAGTCTCGTTTCATGCACTTGCAAGATGCTTGAATGGATCATCCTAAACCGACTTTTGCACAAAATAGGCAGGCTAGGGGAGAGGTCAAGGAATTTGTTAAAGGTCGGAGCACAGCATATAGTATAATTACAAACTCGGCTAATGGCACAGCTAAGTACTCTGTACTTGTTGACATCAAAGGAGCATTCCACAAAGCACAGGGGATTGCGATCCTGGACGAGCTAGCATGCATGGGTGTCAAGGGAAGACTCATGAAATGGATTGAAGATTACCTCACAGGGAGGAAAGACCAGGTCTGCTTCAATGGAGCAGTCTTAAGAACAATGATTATGGAAATCGAGACCCCCTAGGAGGATTCTTAAGCCTCACACTATTCAATGTACTTATGAACGTCATTGCAAATATTGATTTTCCGGAAGGAACACAACGAGTGGTATATGCAGATGATGTTCTAATACAAGCACCCCCTCAGGAAAAACTAAACAGTCCATTGAACTCTTTGGAAGAAAATGTAACGAACTCGGTTTCACTCTCTCCACAAAGAAGACAAAAACATACTCTCATCATAAGCGGGGAGAAAACGAAGGACTACAAATTAATGGTGTAACATTTGAATGGGTTGACCACTATCAGTACCTTGGCGTCACTGTCGGCTCTAACATGGGGGGGGGGGGGAGTAAGAGGAGCTCAATCAACTCATAAAAACTTGCAAAAGTCGACTCAGGGTACTGAAAGCTATGACCTGGAATGGACATGGAACCTCTATACCCGTACATAACATGATGTACACAGCCTATGTGCGCTCCGTCATAGACTATGCCGCACCAGTTTTTGCACCTACTCCCAAAGCGATATGAAAAGGCTCGAAAGCATTCAAAATGAAGCCATAACAATTAATCATGCAGTTCCAAGAACTGCCAAAACGTCTAATCTACGAGAGGAGTTGTCCCTCCCTAGTGTTAAAAGTAGAATTAAGGAACTGAATGCTGAGCTTGCAATTAGGATAGCCAGAGATCCCCATTACAAAGATATTGCCAAGAAAAAACTGATCCTGTGTTACTTACCGGAGGAAACAGGAGAAGCAAAAAATTTCATCACAGATCAGTCTGCTATCTCAAAGATCTTCACCTGCTTGAGCGAGTCCGTGAGCTCCTGCCCGTAGAGAGGTTGCCTCCCTGGGAGGACGACTCATGCAGGATTATCATCAAATAAATGACGACGAAAGAATCCAACTTGATACCACAAGAAATGAGGCACAAGTTTTGGAAATTATCCAACAATTATGCATCATTTATGTATTATAATACATCTTCCTTGTATTAACAATAGTAATTACTAATCTTACTAACTCGTAGAGTAATTATATTAAATCTTTTCCTACTGCGCCAATTATTTTGCCGAATATTTGTACTACATGGCGTGGGTACGTCCAACGTTTAGCATCAGGAAAGATAACATCTACATTACAGAGGATTAAATTATATTCTCAATCCGTATCAGTATTCTTTTCATGGAATCATTAACTGTCTCTATATCAATCACTGATCAGATAATCGCGTGTTATTAGCTAATGATCACTGTTTAGTAGCAATCTCCTGTAATCTTAGAATTGACATAGAGGAACCAAATTCTCCATCCACTTTCATACATTTTCGGCGACATGATAACAACTTCATGTTAATAATTATACGTCGATAATGTCATTAATATAACCTTCCTTATAATATACTCTAGTTTTAACATCTCGCACGGTTGAGAAGTAATTAGGAGAATAATTCTCCGATTCAACGCGCCGTGTCCTTGCGCATGCACAGATCAGACGCCAGGAGGGAGAGAGAGAGACGCGCCATTAACAGCGTGCAGCAGAGAGCAGCGTTACCGACTTGCTTGGACGCCTTATTATTCGCTCCTATACCTGTGAGAGCGGTGCCACATTATTTTGGGAAACAATGGCAGTGTCTTGGAACTTATTAACTCTCCAACCCATAATTGACGTCCTAGCAACAGCAAGGACGGAGGATTGGAGTCGTTCCCTCGAACAACGGACACATGGCTCGGCAACTATTATTTCCTAATTGTTTCCTAGTGATCACTGTAAACATGTAGGCTAGTTGTCGTTAGGCCATATATATATATAGCAACAAAATCCAGTACGTTTCCTCTCTAGCAGTTTCCGTAATTTATTTAGGAAATTATATTCAATATTTTCTGTAGAAGAACTCTACAGTGCCAGATATATCAATTATATCTCTTGCGGAAGAATTCTGCAGTATTAGATATCTCTATTATTTTTCTGTAGAAGAATTCTACAATGTAATTGCCTTTCAGCTCCCAAGTCCACGCCAAGCAATAGATAGGCTACACCACGCTCATGTGGAACGATTTACCTGATGCAACAAGTCATCAGTGGAGGAGTCCGGCCCTAGTAACCGTGGAGTGAGGACGTCTGGCCGACCCTCCCTGGTTGTTGGGGTTGTTTGCCATTTTGGTCGCCAGGTGGTGTGAGCGTCTCTGCCCTCCCAGTCTGTTGTTGCGTGTTGATGTGGCGGTTCTGACATGGGAGGCCATCTTCCCCCTGTTGTGCGTGTGAACTCCGTGGGCCTGGAGTTCACTAGTAAGGCTGGATATCCGGACATTGAGATGGTTATGTGTGAAATGTTTCGTATTCCGGTGGAGGCTATCTACGGTGTTGAGCTTGTTACAGCCCACCGGGTTGTTATCAAGTTTGTGAGGGAGGAGGAGTACCGGGACGTCCTTCGTCGGTACGAGGGGCGTACGTTGCCATTGTCGGGCGATGCCGGCTTGGTGGCGATTTCTGATCGTAGCTGTGCCCTGACTTATGTCAGTGTCCATGGAGCGCTCCTGGAGTTCCCTGAAGACCTCCTCCGGCGTTACTTTGGGAGGTATGGTGCAGTTGTCAGCGTGCGGGTGAACATGCACTCCTCGGGGAGGTATGCTGGAAGGGGGACGAACATTCGTACCTTGGGAATGCGCCAGCGGTCGGATATACCTTCTTCTGTCTGGCTGATGGGTTACTACGTCTGGGTTTATTATGCCCGGCAGCCCCGTACCTGTTTCCGGTGTGGCCTGTTGGAGCATCAGGCTGCCGGGTGCTCTGAGGTCCCAGCTGTTTGTCAACTTGTTCCGGGAAGAGGATTTCCCACCGCTCCCTCAGGGCGAGGATTCCGGGGATGAGGAGGTGCGGGTCCCGTTAGCTGCTGAGGCCCTCCCCCTGCGATGCCCAACGAGCCTCCGGTGGTTGCTGTCCCTCCTCCGGGTATTGCGGTGCCGTCAGTTGGTCTTCCTGCTTCCGTCACTGTCCTCGCTGCTCCCGAGGGCCTTCCTGGTGCTCCCTGTGCGGAGGCACCGTCTTCTTCCACGTCTTCGGCTTCTACGCCTGGCCCTGTGTCTGTGCCTCGGGTCCCGGATGTGCGGCTTGAGCCTAAGCGTTCCCAGCGTTCTTCTCAAGCGTGGGGCGACGTTAGCGAATTCGGCGATTGTGGATCTTCTGGCGGCGGCAAGGTGGTTCCAGGTATGTTGCATACTGCAGTGGTGGCAGAGGTGCATTTGCCTGAGGATGCCGGTGCCGGTGTTTCGGCCTCTGCTTCAAATATGGTGTCTGCGAATCCTGCTTCAGGAGCGTCGCCTGTGTCGGATGGCTCGAGTTCTACGTGGGGGGGCGGTTTCCCCTGCTGAGGTTGGTGGTGAGCGAGGTGGTCTGGTGGTGGTGTTGAAGAAGGCTGCTCGCTCTGGGGATTCTGGTGCCCCTTCCTCGGCGGTGGTCTTGACGCCTCTTCCGTCTTCGGCCGTCTCTTCAGTGTCAAATGTGGTCTCGGTGGAGGTGTTACCATTTCGTCAAACGTCCCCTGCTCCTGTGCGTACTGCGGCGCGGCCGTCTCGTTAGCCCTCGTACACTTCCTCGGTGTCATCTGCTTCCTCGAAGGGCATGGTTTGCGCTCCCTGACCTCGTTATGCGACTTGCGTCAGTAAGCTTCGGGAATGGCCAATGCCGCCTGATCTTGAGGTTCCTGAGAATATGCTGGCCCCACGGGGACAGGGGAATCGTGTCCCTACTGATTTGGAATATTTTATTTGGGAGGCATATAAGCGGAAGTATCCTAGGGATTTGTTCCCTGAGAAACATGCTCCTGTCTCAGAGCTCTATGCTCCTCGCCTATGATTTTTCTTGTTTTAATTATTGTGTGTTGGGGGTTGGTTCCGTTTGTGTGCATGGTTGTGGGGTGTGGGTGGAGTGAGTGTGGGTGGGTGGGGCAGGTTATGTTTCCCGGTTCCTGCGTGCTCCGGTTTGGTTTTGTGGGTTTTCTTTGTATGGCTTGTGTGTGTGTGTGTGTGTCCGGTTCCTGTGCGGTCCGGGGTTTTGTTCCGTGTGTGTGTCTGGGTGTTGATGTCATGTTTTTATTTTTTTTTTTTTGTGGTGGCAGGTTTTTATGGTGCTGTTTGTGCACTTGTTTGTGTCGCGTTGAGTGCTCTACGGGCTGTTGGCGTGACCCGGTCTGGGTTTATGCTCTTTGTCGTGTTTTGCCTTTGGTTTGTTATGCATTTTATGTTTCCCTTCTTGTTATTTTTATTGTTATTATTATTATTATTGTTATCATTTTGTAGTATAGTCCCCTGATTATCTGTTCCTATGACTATGTTATACTGTGTGCCCCTCTGGCTATACTGTTTGCCCTATTGTGTTCTGTTCTTGTGTCTCTCCGTTTGTTTATTGCGAGGCCGGTAGTTAGTTGTGTGTGTTCTTGTTTCATGTATGTGTTATTGTGCCCTGTGCAGCTTGTTTTTTTTTCTTGGCTTGTTGTTTATTTGATTTTCTTGTTATATTTTATGTTATTTTTATGCCTTACCTGTAGGTTGTGCTGCTATTGTTTGTTTTGTTTAATGTGTTATAATGTTTTGTGTATTGCTAGCCTGTTTACATTGCTTTCTCTTGTATTCTGTTTTGTCTTGTTGTTTGTACTGTGCTGTCGGTCCCTCTGGCCGGTAGCTTTTTGTTTTTGCTTGTTACATTGTTTCTTCTGTTTTTTTTATTGTATTTACCTTGCATGCTTGCATGTAAAAATAAAAAAAAAGAGTTACGGTGAGGGGTGAGACCTTAGATTGGTGTGAAGTCACCAATGGAGTCCCATAGGGCTCTGTACCCGGTCCTATCTTGTTTCTGATATATGTAAATGATCTCCCGGAGGGTATAGATTCATTTCTCTCAATGTTTGCTGATGATGCCAAAATTATGAGGATTAAGACAGAGGACGACTGCTTGAGGCTTCAAAAAGACCTGGACAAGCTGAAGGAATGGTCGAACTAATGGTTGTTAGGGTTTAACCCAACCAAATGTAATGTAATGAAGATAGGTGTAGGGAGCAGGAGGCCAGATACTAGGTATCATCTAGGAGATGAAATTCTTCAAGAGTCAGAGAGAGAGAAAAAGACTTGGGGGGTGGACATCACGCCAGACCTGTCCCCCTGCAGCCCATATCAAGAGGATAACATCAGCGGCATATGCCAGGCTGGCCAACATAAGAACGGCATTCAGAAATTGTGTAAGGAACCATTCAGAACTTTGTATACCACATATGTCAGGCCAATCCTGGAGTATGCAGCCCCAGCATGGAGTCCATATCTAGTCAATCATACGACCAAACTGGAAAAGGTTCAAAGATTTGCCACCAGACTAGTACCCGAACTGAGAGGTATGAGCTACGAGGAGAGACTACGGGAATTAAATCTCACTTCGCTGGAAGACAGAAAAGTTAGGGGGAACATGATCACCACATTCAAGATTCTCAAGGGAATTGATAGGGTAGATAAAGACAGGCAATTTAAAACAAGGGGCACACGCACTAGGGGACACAGGTGGAAACTGAGTGGCCAAATGAGCCACAGAGATTTTAGAAATAATTTTTTTTAGTGTCAGAGTGGTTTATAAATGGAATGCATTAGGAAGCGATGTGGTGGAGGCTGACTCCATACACAGTTTCAAGTGTAGATATGATAGAGCCCAATAGGCTCAGGAACCTGTACATCTGTTGATTGACGGTTGAGAGGCGAGACCAAAGAGCCAGAGCTCAACCCCCGCAAGCGCACAATTAGGTGAGTACACCCCCCTCTTACACCCTAACACATACTCTCACGCACTCTCGCACCCTCACACACACCCTTCCACACACCCTCACACTCTCAAGCACCCTCTCGCATCCTCACACACACACTCACGCACCTCACATACTCTCTCACACTCACATACCCTCGCACACCCTCACACAATCCCCGCACACTCTCACCCAATCACACCCTCACCACACACACACACACACACCCTCTCACACCCTGACCCCCCTTAAACACCCTCACATACCCTCAACCACCCTCCTACACTCTCACACACCCTCTCCCACCCTCACACACACTATCACACACACACACCAGGCCCGTCACGGAACTGAGAGGTATGAGCTACGAGGAAAGGCTAAAGGAGCTGAACCTTACGTCCCTGGGAAAACAGAAGAGTAATGGGAGACATGATAACCACCTACAAAATTCTCAGGGGAATTGACAGGGGTGGACAAAGACAAACTCTTCAGCACGGGTGGAACACGAACAAGGGGACACAGGTGGAAACTTAGTACCAAATGAGCCACAGAGACGTTGGAAAGGACTTTTTCAGTGTCAGTAGGTAATAAACGGAATGCATTAGGAAGTGATGTGGTGGAGGCTGACTCCATACACATTTTCAAATATAGGTATGAGAGAGCCCAGTAGGCTCAGGAACCTGTCCACCAGTTGATTGACGGTTATGAGACGGGACCAAAGAGCCAAAGCTCAACTCCCGCAAGTTCAACTAGGTCAGTACATACACACTCATGAATCGTCAAACGCGATTATCTCATACCCCTCATACACACCCTCACATACACTCACACCCTCACATAAACTCAAATCCTTACACACCCTCCTTCACCAGTTGACTGACGGTTGAGAGGCGAGACCAAAGAGCCAAAGCACAACTAGGTAGTTGCTGTGTCTACGATTTGATTGACTGAAACTAACGTATTTTATACGTTCAAAAACGACTTTATATAATTAGTGTTACCTTTCTGCTACCAAATAAAAACATCAGACAACGTTTTGTGTCTGCTGGGTTAGGGGCTAGGGTGCACCGCCCTTAGTAAGAGAGAGTGGCTGCCTCACTCTTCTTGCTGTTACCGTGTGCAAGTGAAATGCATTAACTTTGTACATTAACTGTGCATGGAGACCTGTGCATTCCTTTGGGTACTTGAATCTGGGAGTCGAGCCTTCGTAGAGGAAGTGTACCCTGGGAAGTAAATGTGCTTCATTGATGGGCTGTGACAAAAGTTAAAAAAATAATCAGTGTAAGTCACATTGAGATTTTTGCGGTTAGCATCCCTATTGGTCCCTGGGATAACTTTAGGCACTGAGAATGGCCTCAGCTCGAGTTTGCTCATGTTGTGAGTGGTGGCTTAAAATGTGCTTGGTTTGAGCTACATAGAGGTAATGGAGCAGCGGGGAAGGAAGGCTACCACACTGATCATTGACCCACAGATGCTTTACTTCTCTTCTTGTGAGCTGTGGGACACACAGGCGACAGTCAACATTTAACAAGAAGCTATAGTATCCATCATTGGCGGAAAGGTCAGCAAAAGTGCCACTCCAAATTAGAAACAAAACTAGATAGGCCTGTTATCACGGCCTGTGTCTTACTGATGTTATCAGTAGTGATACGATTTTGTTGTCATAGAGAGCTATCGAGAATTTGGTGGTGGTGGTCCTTAAAATGTTGTCTAGGGAGTAAGGAGTAAGGAAAACAGCCTAGTACACAAGTCAAAAATTTATACGTATAAGTCACACAGGAATACATTCAACAAGGATTTTTCCTCACAACATAAGATCACTATGTATTAAAACCTCAAGTGGATCTGACCACCCCACGACCTTGGTACCGTGCACCCAGCCACCACCGCTATCATCCAATAACACATATATTTAAGCCTCTAGGAAACCTGGACTCTTATAAAACCTCTCCAACTTCTGTAATACTACTCTACCCAATCTTGCAACCCTGGTTATATACAAGGATAGGCTTATCTGACTGTACGGCCGGAGAAAAGCCCTCAAATAGCAGGATCGGTCGGCAGCGATACACCTCCCTCTTCAGTCAAGATGGCGTCCCCCTCTCTTGCATCATCGCGCCTTAATACTCTATTCTTTACATATGCTATCAAACACATAAATGATTTTATTTACTATATTCCCCATGCATACTTTTTGATAGAGTCCATTTTTCCCTTACACAGTTAGGCTATTCCAGTTCACATTATTTCTGATGATCTCCAGCTGAGAAGGCACTACTTTACTGGGCGGAGTATTAATGGTGACTCGCGGCCTCTCCGATCTCAGCTGTAGATTTAGTCTAATAAACACTCTCTACTGTGTCCACCAACACTTTACAACCGAAACCAACCTCCACAGGAGGTAAGGTTCGTAACACCCCGCCTTAGCCATGGAGAAAAAAAAGGGAAATTCTTAAGGGAATTTCACTTTTTTTTTATAAAATTAACACCTCAAACAGATTTCATAGTAATTGTAAAGAAACAGTAAATGATATATAATAAACACTAGATACACAATAATATATACATCTTTGAGCAATAGTACAACCCTAAGTCACCCCAGGTTTTGGCAATCTAGAAAGTGCATCTGCTACTACATTTAATTTTCCTGGAATATGTTTGATGACCAGATTGTAATCTTGCAACAATAAAGACCACCTTAATATTCTCTGGTTGGAATTCTTCATGCTAGCAATAAATGTTAA